GATGAAGAAATAAAACGAGTATCATGCTTTTAAAAAAATGACACAACTATGAAAGGACGGTTCAGTCACAAACTTTCCTTTCAAAGTAGAGGGGTGAAAACAAGGCCACAGCTCTGGAGGAGGCGGCCCCAGCTCGGTGAAGAGGAGAGGGAACCAGTGAACAGGCCAGAAGCCCCCCTTCCCCCTTAATTAGACCTACAAGTGCAATAAATCTCACTCCTCTTTTTCCAAGCTAAGCTTCCAAAAGGGTGATGCAGCAATGAATCTATGGTTCAGGATACTCCAGTCCCCAGCCCGCCCCAATTTTAAATAAAGGGTATGAAGAGGTGGAGGGGAAAGTGGAATGAAAAACACAGAAGAGTTTTCTGGGGGAAATCAGCACCCCTCCCCAAGTTCATGCGAGCACAGCCCCCAAGCATCCTCACGCACACGCGAGAAAGAGACACACACCGAGCACATCCAAGACAGAGGAAGTGAGGGATTTTAAGCCACAGCTCACGATCCCAGGGACACAATCCTGAGCAGGCAGCAGGAGGGGTGGAGGAGCCAGGGAGAGGAGCGCAGGCCGGGAGGGGGAGGCAGCGGCAGCGAGCTTGGTTGGGGAGGGGGGTGACGCCGGGGGAGGAAGGCAGCGGGGACAGGGGAAGCTGGGACAGGGCCGGGACCGCAGGAGCTCCAGCCCCATACAGCAGCCACCCCCGCGAGAGAAAGAAAGAGGGCCGGGGAGGCGGGCGAAGCTCAGGGAAAGAAGCAGAGAAGAAATATTCACCTTCCCGCCTCATGCCCACTTTGAGGCACTTCTTGAGGCGGCAGTATTGGCACTGGTTGCGGTGGTGCTGGTCGATGGGACAGTTCCTGTTGGCACGGCATGTGTAAGTTAAGTTCCTGCGGACGCTCCTCTTGAAGAAACTTTTGCAGCCCTCGCAGGTGAATTGGCCGTAGTGCTTGCCGCTCGACTTGTCCCCGCACACCACGCACTCGATGTGCTGCTGGCTCTGGCCCGAGCCGGGCGGGCCCTGGCCCTTGTCCCCTGCCGTGCCGGGGGTGGCGGGCGCTCCGGGCTGGCCCGGGGTCTGCGGCGTGTGCGGCGCGCCCGAGCCCGCCTGCTGCTGCTGCTCGCCGCCGCCGCCGCCGCCGCCGCGGGCCGCTTGCGCTGCGGGGTTGGGGCCGCCGGGGTTGCCCCCGGCCACGTCGTCCTGCGGATCTCGCCAGCTGCTAACTACCATTGCCATATCTTTGGGCCCGGGGAGCGCTGGGGGGAGCCGAGCTGCTCGCCGAGGGCCGCGGGGCGCGCGGGCGCGCTGGGAGGGGAAGGGGAAGGGGAAGGGGGGAGGGGGAGGGGGCGGGGGGCCCGCCGGGCGCCCCGGGGTCGCGGGAGCCGAGCCCGAGCCGGGCACCGGCCGCTGCCTCCGCCGCCGCCGCCGCCGCCGCCGCTACTGCCTCGGCCGCCCCGCTGCTGCTGCGCGCCCGCCCGCCCTGCTGGCGTTTTGTTGTGGTTCCTGCTGTTTTCTTTCTCTCTTTTTGCAGCCCCCCCAGGCTCTCTGGCTCCCCCCCCCAACACCCCTGCTCCCCTCGCCCGCTCCCCCCGCGCTCCGATCCTGGGGGGGCCACGCTCTCCTTCCCCCCCTCCCCACCCCCCCCCACCGAGCAAGCTCCCTTCTCTCGCTTTTTTCTTCTTCCCAAGTTGCAAAATCAGAAATGGCACAGGCGGCAGCCGGGAGCGGCGCGGGGCGCAGCGCTGGGGGCGGCGGGCATGGGCCACGGCGCGCGCACACAGTCGCCCTCCGCCTCGCCCGCACCCCCGCGCACACACACACTCTCACACACACTCGCTCACCCGCGCCGGGCGCCCGCCCGCCCGCCGGCCGCTCCGGCTACACGCTGCGCGCCGGCTGAGCCGACATAGAGGAAGCCGGCGAGGGCGGCGGCGGCGGCGGAGGCGGAGGAGGCGGAGGAGGAGGAGGAGGAGGTCGCGGCTGCAGGCGCCGCTGGAGTCGCCGCCTCAGCTGCAGCGGCGAGCGCCGCTGGAGGAGCCGGGGCCCGGGCGGGAGTCCGAGCTGGAGTCGGGGCTGCAGCCGGAGCGCGAGCCCGGGTCGGGGCCGCCCGCGCCGCCGCCGCTGTCCCGGCGGGAGCCCTCGCTGGGCTCGGGATTGAGGGGAGCGCGGTGAGCCGAGCAGGGCGCGGGGCGAGGCTGCCGGCGGTGATCAGGGCGCGTTGGTGTCGGGGGGCCAGGTCCAGGGCTGGACGCAGCCAGCCATTCAGGAAGGCAGCGCTGGAGAGAGGGAGGCAGCCGGCGAGGAGGATCACACACTTTGCTCTTTTTGTTGTGCCGGTGGCGCCGGGCTCTCGCTGCCTTCTTCTTTCGGGAGGTGACGGAGAGGGAGAAAAATACGAGATAATTCACGCCGGCGACGAATTCACAGCGAAATCGAAAAAATAAAAAATCAGAAGAAAAAGAATTGCAATTAAAAAAAAAGCGAGAGACATCCAAAGTAGGTCGAATAAATAATCCTCTTCTTTTCCTCTTTCTTGCTCCTTCTTCTGCTTCTTCTGCTATAACACACAGAGCTAGTTAAAAAAACCCTGGAGATCGCCCAAAAATGTTCTTTTTTTAGTATTTTAAATAAGTGCTCTTCAGCCGGGAACCAACACCCTCCCTCCAAAAAAAAATCATATATGTATAAAATAACGATAAGAAGAATACGAAGGGGGTGCCTCCTCCTCCTTTTTTTTTTTTTTTAAGTTTAGCCCTCTCTCTTCTGCAGGAATGGAGTAAAAGACAAGGAGGAGGGAGAAAAAGAGAAAGAAGAGGAATACAAGGGAAACAACTAATAGAATATGTAAGAAAAGAAAACGGAGAGAGGAGAGAAGGGAAGAGAAGAGAGAGAAAGAGATTGAGAGATTGAGAGAGAGAGAGGCGGAGGAGAAGAGAGAGAGAGAAGAGAGAGAGAAGAGAGAGAGAGAGAGAGAGACCCCAAAATTGAATGCGTTTAAACGGGAGGACTCGCAGAGCAATGTTTCCGAAAGGGGGATCTGCGCGAATGTCTGTATATAGTGAACTTTGACACTACTATTGAAACTGACACGTTTCTATGGAGATCGCTGCCTTATATGGAGCTCGTGTCAAGGAGCCAAGAGAAGGGCTGCTGGCAACTGATAATCAAAGGCGACTGACTGGTCAGAGCCCTGAATCGGGGGGGAGAGAAAATGGGAGTCTAAGGTTAGCCAAGCCTCCAGCACGCCATTGGTTGGAGAGCCCCTCCCCCCTCCTCTTTTTCTTTCTTTCTCCCCCCCCCCCCCCCGCCTTAGCTACCTACTGACGGGGATGGTGAGGGGAGGAGGAGGGAAAGTGAGGGAGGGGGGTGTGCTTCTGACAAGCGCAATTTACATTGAGATCGCCCTGCGCTGCTATTTACTCTGAGACCTGATTAGTATGGGTCGTCTGTGGTCACACACACACACACACACACACACACGCACACGAACACTAGAGGGGGAAGGGATGGCGAGGGGGAGAATGCCTTGTAATGGTTAAAAGAGAATTAGAAGGAAATTATTTTGATTTCTTCTGAAAAGTTTTTAAAATTAGGTTTTATGAACGTGAACAGAGTGTCGTTGAAAATGTTAGGAAAATTTTTAATGAGAATTAAACTCTCACCATTTTAATGATTCATGAAATATGCTGGGTTTGAATTGTTTTCTTCGTTCACATATAAGCATAATCCAAGTGTGGATTCTGCTCTTTTTAGATCCTTTTAAGAAACAAGGTAGGGACTCCTTATTTTTTGGCCCAAAGTATACATTGGTTTTAAAGGTTTAATTATGACAAAACACACTCCTGGAATATGCAGCTATTGCCACAAAATCAATCTGAATCCAGGGCTCCTATTCATCCCATGATGATTTTAAAAATAAACTTTACAATCAATCCGATTTTTCCTTCTTTCTTTTTTCCTCTTTGGTATTCTCAGGCTGTTCCAAACTTCAAACAACGCTTAAATAATTATTAATAAAACAGTAGTAAGTCCTCATGGGGGGGGTCAAGTTAGTGCGGTCAAGTCGGAGTCCCAGGAAAAGAGGAAAGGGGCGAGCGACTGACAAGGGAAAATGGGAGATGGGGAGAGGTGGGAAGAGGGGAGTAGGGAGAGGAGGGTGGGGGAGAGAGGCAGGGGAGAGGGAGGAGAGCGGGAGAGAGGGAGGTAGGGAGGCAGAGGGAAAGAAAAAGAGAGGGAAAGAGATAAAGAAGGCGAAGAAGAGGGAGAGATTGAGAGAAAGAGGGAGGAGAGAGGGAGAGAGAGTGAGGGCCAGGGAGAAAGAGGGAGAGTGGGGAGGGAGAGAGAGAGGGAGGGGGGAAAGAGGGAGAGAGAGGGAGGGAGAAAAGGAGGGAGGGAGGGGGAGAGAGAGAGGGGGGAGAGGGGGAGAAGGGGAGAGGGAGAGGGGGGAGAGAGAGAGAGAGAGAGAGCGAGAGGAGAGAGAGCGAGAGAGACCCCGATTCCCGAAGGCGATTGGTCGTGGGAGGAGGGGCGGGCAGGAGGAGCGGTCCCGCCGCCGGGCCTGCAGGAATCGCTGGCTCCGGCTGCCACCTAGCGGACGGGAGCCGCGCCCGGGAGGCGCACAGCCGGGTCTCTCCTCCCCTCCCTGCAGGCAGCCTGCGCCTTTTCTCCAAACGGAGACAGCACTTTGAAAATTCTTTCAATGGATTTTTTTCCTTGAAAGATCGTACTGGGGAAAATGATACTTCTATTAGTTACATATTCTCCAATAGCACACTCGCACCCCCCTCGTTTTGAGATCGCTCCCTAGGCAGGCTCAGGCGGGTGCGGAGCTCTGCGAAGTGACAAAGCCGCCGCGGCAGCCGCTGGGGGTGGGAGCCGCGCTCGCCCGCCCGCCCCTCGACTCGGGAGAGCGTAAAAGTTTGTCTCAGCTCCAGCATCCGATCCTCAACACGCCCTCAGGTAAAGGTGGGTGTAAATGGCCACGCTGTATTGACAGAGGTAGGGTTTGTTTTTTAATACTCGTTCTCACTTTAAATTTCACCAGGGAGGGGTTTGGGAAGCGCTGCGTGTTTGGGGTGCGTTTTGCGCTTCCCGGTCTCTCCAGCCTACAAGTCGGGAGTCAACGACCGCTTAGTGACTAGGGACGACTTTAAAGAGCAGAATAAAGCCTTTTCCGTGCCTGCCCCACAGCCCCTCCAGCTCGAGTAATGGAGAGACAGTCAATGCACTCTGCAAGCGGCGGCCCATTGTACGCAGCTGACGGAGAGGAGGCGACTGGGGCAGGCAGGGGCTCCTTGCCCTCGGCCCCCTCCCCAAATAAACGCTCTCACGTCTCCTGGTCAATTAAAAGGGGAAAGGAACACGATTAAAAGACAAAAAAAAAAAAAAAAAGAAAGAAAGAAAGAAAGAAAAAAGAGAAGAAAAGATTAAAAAGAGAAAGAAAAAAGAGAACAAGCTTTCTATATATAAATTCGAAATTTTACTCCCCATATAGTACAGAGGCAGGCAGTCGAGGGCAGAGGAAGCAGGCAGAGAGAGGGAGACAAGGAGAAGGAAAGAGAACGCGGAGAGACGGAGCGAGTGGAAGAGGAGGCAAAAGCGAGCGCCAGGGAACCGGAGGCCCGCTGGACACCGAGTCTGCGGGTCCAGCCACCCTTGGACCCTGGACCGTGAGTCGTGGGCACCAGAAGCGAGACTTGGCCAAGTCCTTCCCCACCAGGCAAGTAACGCAATTGATTATCGTTTCTTTTGAACTCGGGGCTGGCAATGCGGACAGGTCGGGAGGTTGACTCTCTTGGCCTCTGCAGGCCAGGGCCGGAGTCCAGGCAACCAGGGCGGGATGAGGAGAACTTTCCGCGGGGCCTGCTCAGGAGCTACCCTCACCCGGCCTCTGTCCCGCCACGGCGCAGAGGCAGGGACCGCGGCCGCCCCCCTCCTGGAGCTGAGGATCATGCCAGCCAAGCGTCAGTCCGAATTCGAAACAGGTCTCCCCACCCCCATCCTCTACCCCCTACCCCCGCCCTCCCCGCAACCAGTGGGCGACGGATGCCGGGCCTCCAGCCCTGTGGCAGAGGAGGAGGGCGGCGTTTAACACCCGCGCCGCCGTCCCGCTGGTGCAGAGCGGGAACCGCGGTGGAACCGGCTGCCGAGTCTCGCCAGGCTGGCCCTGTTGCCCGCGCCCTGCCTGGCTCCGGCCAGAGCCTGACGAGCTCGGCTCCTGCCGCCCACCTGCGGGCGCCATGTGTAACGGATCCCCTAATGTAACACGATCGATGGCTGCCTCTTTGATATGGGCGATAGTGTCAGCGGATTAAAAGGGACACCAAGCCGCTCTCCCCAGTGGAGAACCCGCGGCGGCGGCGGCGGGGACAGAACATCAGATCCCCAGCTCCGCAGCCCAGCCATACTCCTCGCGCCGCAGCACGAGGGCTGGGGCGGGGAGGGGTCATCTCCCAGGGGTGGGGACGGAGGGGGTGTGTGTGAAAGGAAGAGCCTCAATTAAAACCTACAAGAGCGCTTTCCTCTGCGTTGGGCAGGGGCGCGCGTTTGCGTCAGAGGGCGCGCAGGGCTGGCGCAGGGGGCGGGGGTAGTCGACGCCGGGGGCCGCGCCCCGGGGCTAGATGGTCTCGAGATTCAGCCGGCCGGGCAGGGTTGGCCTCGGTCCCGCCACGCAGGCAAGAGGGAACGCAGGGCGCGAGGACGAGCCGAGACTTCCCGGGAGCGGCGGAACCTATTCGCCCTCACTGTGGGCTCTTTCCGCTAGCCCCTACCCTGAGCTTCCAAATTTGAAAGAGACCCTGGGGGTGGGGACAATTGGGGCCCTCGAGGCTTCAGGCGATGCCACCCGCTCCTCCAGAGGAAGGGAAGAAGGGGTTCAGTACCCGGCCCTAGGCCCGAAGATGGGGGCTGTTGGTGGTGGTGCCCGTAGCAGTGGAAACTCGCGGCTTTTCGGAGCAGGGGACAGATCGCCCTTCCGCCGGTCCTGTGTGCTACATTTCTGTCTCAAGAGCGGGCAGGCAGGTGGAAACCGAGGTTTTTCGAGGAAGAGTGCTGTCCTCCTCCGGGACTCGTCTAGCCCAAGCGGCACTCAGGGCTCTGTTCTTACGGACCTTGTGTTCCCTACCGCGTTTGCACACTCTGTGGGTGTGCCTCCACTTGTGCTCGCAGCCTCAGCCCTAGCAAAATGGCTTCCATGGAGCGACTGGGGGGGGGGGGGGTCAGCTCAGGTCCTGGGCAGCTCTGCTTTCTCTCTGTGAGGCTGTTCTTTGTTACTGGTTCAACTTGGCACACTGGTCCTGGGGCCTTATGCACCCCACACTCAAGCCTGACATAAGATACCTGTTTTTATTGGGTAGAACAGAAAAATGATCATATTTTGTGGGAGCATGTAGGTCCCCCAACTTACATTCCACCCAAGTGTCCAGGCACACTCAGCTGCAGGAGAAGAAAACACAGTTGCAATATCCACCTTTATTTCACCCCTCTTCTCCAGATGTCTTTCCCTCCTTTCTCACGCCAGCCCTTTACCTCGGTTGCCTTTAGGTCCAAGCGTGTGCATGTGGCTCTTGGACCTAGACCCACTGCGGCCCTTGCCTCAATACCCTACTTGAGACTGCCAGCCCAGTAACCATATATACTGGGTCCTCTCCAAGGTCTCTCTCTCTCCTGGTGAGGCCCATCCAGGGATGGGAAAATGCTCACCAGGGTCTGGACTCCCCAACTTCCTTTCTGAAGTCTTCCTCTGACAGTCTGGTCCCCATAGCCCCATTCAGTGCAAACAGTCTCCAGTGTGGTTCTCCTAAGGGATGATGGGAATTTACCCCTCTGCTTGGGAAAGAGGAATCGGGCTGTAGGCTTACTTTCCTCTGTGGTTTGTTAGCATCATGGCTCAGCCTTAATTACTTTTTGAAAGATCTTCCACACAACACTTGATCTCTCCTAACTGGAGAGCCAGTAAACAGTTATGACTTAGTGGGAAAAGGAGAGAAGCAGAGATTGGTGGCTGCATATACTGCATTGACTCGCATTCCTGGCCCCAGAGTCCAGATCTAAGCAGACTTTCTAGTTGATTAACATCCTCCTACCCCAAATCTTTCTTTCCAGAAGGCCCAATCAGTCTTCATTAATCCTATTACCTTTTCGATGTTGGTATTTTGCTCTTCAAAACTCACCAGATCATTCATTTTGGCGTTTTGGTAAATCACACTAAACAAAGGTGACCTTGTGAAAACATTTTCTACATCTAGTTCAAGGGTGATGAGACCCTACAAATGACCATGTGTAGGGTATGTGTAGAAAGTTATCTCCTATACCTTTTCCCTACCCCCTAAATTGTTAAAAGTGATATTTTTCTGTTTAGAGAGAACAGAGAACAGAAATAACCCTGTTTTATCACGCCCATCTGGAGAGATGAACATGCCTGCAATCATTGGGAGAAAGGTCAGTTCTTATGCTCTTACTGCAGACCTTTCCCAAATAGCTTGTTTTAAAGGTGCCGAATCAATTAGTCTCCCTTGGCATGAGATTAAGGCCAGGAAGAACACAGTTGAAGAAGAAGTATGTTGAAAATGGTCTTTAGAATGATACTTTGAAGAAGAGGACGGAGAGAGGCACAGAAATGCCTGCCCAGTGTTTCATGATTATTAAGAAGTCAAAATGAAAACCCAAACAAACAAACAAAAGACTCTGCCTATGTCAGAAATCCCTCCTCACAAGACTGAACTCAGTCTGTATTGTGGCTGCCCAGTTGTGAAAAGTTCTGCCTTTGTTAAAATGAAAACAAGGATGGAAAGGCCAAATTGGGAGCTGGGCCTCTGCTGGACTGCCTGCTTTTAGCCTGCCCATGGAGTTGAACCACAGATCAGTAGGCTTCCATATTCACTATCACTCTAGTAGGCATTTTTTCTTTGTCACCTTTGGGTCAAAACGCCCAGAGATAAGTGCTTTACCTTAGAAAGCGGTTTAGTTTTCTATCACAAATCAGCCATTCAAAGCATGTGTTTTGGAACGAGAGATAAGGGCAGCAGTTCCTCATTCTGCTTGGGCCTCTAGTTAGAGGGCCCCGAGTAGCCACGGGAGGATGGCAGGAGAGCAAGTGCTGACCTTTGGATGCAAATCCAAGCCTTTTATCGGAGGAAAAGTGACAATCATTCCTAGCACACTAGAGAAGCCAAGGCCAAATATTTACTTTTTGTAAAAATCAAACCTTAGCTATCTAAATGCATTTATGCAAAAGAAGGAAAGAACTGGAGACTTTTATACTGCAGAGTACTTCTTTATTTTAAATGCTGGACTAGAATGAAGAATAACTGTGTGGTTCTTTTTCCTGGGGGAAAATGGGTTGGGTTTGGATGAAAAGTTGGAATTCTGAAATGACTTTGAAGCTTGTTAAAGTTCCCTGACAATACAATCACCAAACCATATAATAATTTCTCGTAATAGTTACCTGTCAGGGCACCAATTTCTTTTACTGCAGGATTAGCCCATCAGAGTAGATCTGAGTTGGACATTACTGATTAAAGTCTGCTCAAATATGTTTAATTCTTTAATGTCACTTTCTTAACAGCCTATAAAATAAATTAGTGAAAAAGTATTGACTCACAAAGCCAGCAGATCTGTTGGTAACTATGGTCATATTACAATAGTATTTACCTATCAGAAGGTTGATCTAAATAATAAAGCTAACATTTCCTTTTAAATTGTCAGTGGAAAGATATGTTTATTACAGTGTCCTCCATCAGTGGGGGGGGAGGCGATTAGGTAAAGTTTAAATGAAAAAGTATGAGCATAGTACACACCACTGATACAAACTACATGGAGTAGTAAATAATTATGCCCTCTGTTACACTATGTATATTTTATTTACCTGTTTCAGAGGTGAATGATAAACCTAGCCCAACTATGGGAGGAGTTAATAAAGTATTCCAAAAGCATGATCTAACAAAACTTGAGGATAGTTCTGTTTTATTGTTAACCCTTTGCAGGAAATCTTCTGAAGCTGAAAAGAAAAAGGAAAGGGCTTTTGTGTTAGTTGATCCTTGGCTATTCTAGGGCTCAGGTTGGTGTGAAAGGGACGAGGAGGTCACTTGAAATCTCCTTTTATCTGCTCTTATTTTCTCTCTGGATCAGCAACTTTGAATAGACATCATCTAATCGCTCTTAATGGAAAGAAACTGTGGGAGCAATGAAATGCCTTTACTCCAGAAGTGAATACATGTGTGTGGATAGCTAGCTGAGCTTGCGTAGGACTACATTTCTGCACTCGTGTGCTTAAAGATTTTTCAGAGTGCATGGATATATACATAAAAGTTTCTTCTACACTCTGGGGGCAGGGTTTGGGTGGGTTATTTTGCCTTCACACACACACATCCACTTGAGGATTCCCTACCAGGTCCTGGTGATACTTTCAGCTGACTCTTCCTTCAGCTTTTTCTTGCCCTTGCTCTCTGAGATGTCATATTTAAGTCCCCCCAAAGAAAGCAAATAATTGAGAGCACGATGGACAGCTTTTTAGTGCAAACATCTTATTTCCTTTCTGCTTTCAACTGGAAGTCACACTAACAGGAGGATTTCTTTTCAGAGGGTAAAGGTTGTGTGACAGGTGAGAGGTGATGGGGTAAAGCGAGATCATTACTTTCAATTTCTCCCCAGTATTTTTTCTTTTCGGTCTTTCTTGGAATTAAATTGGTTAAAATACAATAAATAAGTGGAAAACAAGAG